TCGCAGACGTAGCGGCCGTTAACTATGAACTTCAACTCGTGGCGCCCGGGGCGGCGGGGGAGCGCCAAAACGAAGCATCTGCAAATAAAATAGAAATAATAAATAAATAAATACATTATTCAATCAATTTAATTAACTTAATTAACTTAATTAACTTAATTAACTTAATTAATTAAAATCCTTTCGTTCAGAAGAAACGCGCACTCCGCAGCTAAACTACAAGGCCTGGGACACAGAACCAGCGCATCCCCGAGGGTTTAGGGTTTGCGGTATAAAGCTAGGGTTTAGGGTTTGTGGTTTAGGGTTTAGGGTTTAGGATTTACTCGCGAATGTGGCAGTAAGTCATCAAGTGCCTCTTGGTCCATGGTGGTGAAGAGAAGTCGCCAACAACCTGAAGAAACAAATTGAACAAAAATAAATTAATTAAAATAAATATAAATACTTAATCAATTAACTAATTAAACTAAATAAATATAAATAAAGATAAATTAAAATAATAAATATATAAATAAATAAATGCTAATGGTGAGCAGCCTAACAGAGCGTGGAGGGGGCCTCACAGCGGCTGACCTAAACCCTAAACCCTAAACCCTAAACCCTCATCACCTCGACCATGGCGTTGCTGTTGCCTCATATCCACTTGACCACCCAAGCCTCTAATCCTACACCTCTACCCCCCTAAGCCCAAATCCTAAACCCAAACCCCAAACCCCAAACCCTAAACCCTAAACCCTAAACCCTAAACCCTCACCTCGACTATTGCGTTGCTGCTGTCCCACATCCACTTGACCACCCAAGCCTCCCACTCCTCGTCGAGGGCTCTGCGGGCGCAGCGGCCTTTCCAAACCCTTTGAATTTCTGTTGCTGCTAGCTGCCGCACCCGCAGCAAGCAGCGCGTCTGCAGCAACACACGCAAACCTGCTGCTGCTGCTGCTGCTGCTGCTGCGGGGGGCCAGCAGGCAGCAGGGGCGCAGCGCTTCGCGAGGCGGAAGCACGCGCCTGCTGCTGTTGCAGCAGCGAGAAGCTGCTGCTGCAGCAGCAGGCAACAGCGGCAAGCAGCAGCAGCAGCAGCAGCAGCAGCAGCAGCAGCAAACCGACCAG